TCAACTCCCAGAATTCTCCAGCCAGCATAGCTGGCTGGAGAATTCTGGGAGTTGAAGTCCACAAGTCTTAAAGTTGCCAAGGTTGGAGACCTCTGGTCTAAGGGACAAACTTGCTTTTTAATGCCTAATTTGTTGCTGAAAACATTTGTCATCCCAGTTGGCAAGAGTGTGGAAGCTAATAAAGAATAAAGAATAAATAAATAATAATAAAGAATAAAGAAATGGCCCAAATGATAGTCTCTTTCCTAAATCTCCTCTCCCCCTCCATAGAGCCACCCCCAAATTTATCAAGCAGAGCCGCAGAGAGGAAGGAACATTTCTTTCTTTTTAATGCCAATTGAGAAAATGGAGACCTGATTGTTAGCCTTGATTTTAATAATACTTTAAACAGATTTAATTTTATGTTGACTTTAATCTATTTAAATAGAGATGCTAGTAAACTTTATAAATACAGATGTATCACTATTTGTATTGCTTGTTGCATTTTATCTTGATCGTGCTGATTAAATGGAAAGTGTGCTATATTATCCCATCTTGTAGTATTGTAAGATAACATGCTGTTCCTGCTGTGATATATACAGTGTACAGGCTTCATGGGCCAATCAAAATATATTTTATTAATATTTTTGAGAGAAATTGTTACTGTATTTAGGAGGGTACAAAGGTCATGCATCAAATGAGTAAGGAACTATTTAGAAAAAAATAATGAATTCAAACATGTAATGTAATTTATATAATAAATTCTCTGGCAGGGCTCCCCAACCTCCAGGCCATGGCCCACTTGAGCCTTTTGGAGCCGGACCACAGAATTGGTGGGCAATCATGCATGTGCGTCCCCAGTTGCAGGAGCAGCAGGCACCACATGCACGTGTGTTCCATTTGCGTGAGCGGCAGACACACGTCTGCTGGTTGTGCAAATGGACCTATGCATGCTTGCCTGCCACATGTGGGGGGCCATCCCCTCTTCCTCCATTCCACAAAGCTGAAAAAGTTGGGGAACTCTGTGGGGTCTGACTTTTGGTGCAATCTATATTATTTATGTTGACATATGTATTTGTTGCACCAAATAATCATTGTACAAATTGCATGCATTAATGTAATAAAAACAGAATGGATGTTGTATTTTTTCCAGTACTATAAATTGCTTGTTGACATTTATGATAAGAAACTAAATTAAAATCATAAAGACCCCCTGTGGTTTTGCTCAAATCTTGCCTGACTGTATGAACATATAATCTAACTTTCCTTAAAAATCTAAAAGAGTAAGCCATAAATAGACCTGTGAAGGTTATGCTTAGAAACCCAACTGACTGATTCTTGGGAAGATGAAATGAAATAGAAATGCTTTACTGAAGAATTGCCTGTAGAAATTTATTTGTTTATGTAAATTTCCTTTTGTTGTATATCTTCTGATAAGAAACATCATTTCTTTGAAGTTATCTGCTGCAATATCATTTCACAACTATAGGTTGTTTTCATATTAGTTCTCACAATTTCAAATTGTAATGAAGCCGTAGTTATATATGAAATTACTCAAAAGGATATGGATATATATATATATATATATATATATGTATGTATGTATGTATGTATATATGTATATATGTATATATGTATGTATATACATATATATATAACTCAAAGAGGGTAGATGTTTCCATTATAAAATAAAATCTTTCTTTTTTAACACAATTTTCTCTTGTTTTTGCTATTGCATCCCATAACATGCTGTGTTATTTTTCCATAACATGTAACCTCTAAACAGCATTTTGTTTGTTTGTTTTCTTTTGTCACTTTCTATATCGGCAATGTCCTTCCCTTGTCTGTTCTGTACATCCTGCTTTCTCTCTTAAACTGTTGCCAGTAGAATCTTCACGCAGTGCCATCTTTCTTTTTCTTCCTCTTTTTTTTTTCTTTCTTTCTTTCTTTCTTTCTTTCTTTCTTTCTTTCTTTCTTTCTTTCTTTCTTTCTTTCTTTCTTTCTTTCTTTCTTTCTTTCTTTCTTTCTTTTTTCTCTTTTAGTTTGCTGTTTTCATAATGTACTTGCACCCCAAAGGCATTGAGTTCTATAATACAATAAAAGCTGTTTACATGGTGAGGAAGCTTTTAAGTTTCAACTGAACAAGAATAATATTTTCACTCTTTCTTTTTAATGTGATTTTGATGGACTTTGGCTCTTTTTCATGTGAAATTGATTAATTGCATTATTTATTGTGTTGCTAACATGTCTGATGTTTCTACTTTCTATCAGAACATAAGAGCCTTTAATCTCCCAAATATTGCCAAACTCTTAACTCCTAGTATCATATTTCAGATGTTTTGATACAGAATATTTGGTACATAATTTGGGATAAATGTTCCAAATCTCATACAATTTCAAAGGGTTTAAAAGAAGGGATAAGAATCTCATCAACATTACACAAACACAAATAACAGAGAGAAAAAATCACATATAAAGTATAAGGCTAAAAAAAATTGCCCCATAAATGTATATATGCCTTTTCATAAAATATTTATTCCTCTTTATCTCTATTTAGAATTGATAGATATCACGTGTACCTTGTTGTTGCTGAACCCAGATTTCACTACAGCATGGAATGTAAGGTAAGATTAGTAAATACAGATATAAAGACTTCTGCTGATAGCCTCATGTTTTAGGGTATGATTTCATGGATTCCATTCTTCTCTAACTTCACACAAGGCTGCTTTTGAGTAACCATATATGTTATGTATTACAGAAAATCTTATTTCATGTATAATGATTTTTAAATCAGTACCTCTGTTCAGGGGTGGGATTCTACCAGTTTGGACCTGTTTGGGTGAACCAGATATTAAATAGTGCAATATTGTATTTTATTTATCAACAATTTTAAAGAGCCTTTTGAATATAGAACTCTCAAAGCAATATGCAAAGCAAATTGTCAGCCCTGCTAGATAGGCCAGACTGGGAAATAACTACACTGGAAGGCTAAAAATACTGTTATTGAGATGAGCTATAACAACAAAATCTTGCAAGTCTGATTATGCTTACCTTGTAGTCCTCCTTCTTAAACTTTGGTGAATTTGAGAGACATCTGCCTGAGTGATTTCCAAATGCTGCCTCCTTGTTCTCATGCATATACAAATTTATAAATCCTCACCTTTTTTAGAAACCTATTACGTAAAACTGATGATGTTCAATTGTACATGGATACTGCAGGTCAAACTAGATATGATATAATTTGGAAGCTATAAACCTAGGGCTAAAAGTCTCAATAAATAAAACAAGCTCGAGCTTAATCCTAGCAAATTGGAGTTATTGTTTCTTCAAAAATATCTTGGTTCTGAGGTGATGCTTGTATTAGGATTGCAATCCCTCTGTAAGAGTACGTTCTCTTGGACCCATGTCTCCTACAATAGCAGGTTGGGAAGCCTTGGACCAGCTAAGTCTTGTGTGCCAGTTGTTGCCCTTTTTGGATCAAGATGCCATAGGTCAATGATTTTTGTTTTTATGACCCACAAGATAAGATTATCATTAGGATGCTCTACATGGAGCTGTTAAAAATGACTTTGGAAGCTATAGATAGTACAAAAGGTAGCAGCCAAGTAGCTACCCTAAAATGTTTTATATCTCCAGTATAAATAAAAACCTAACATCTATCTTTTCAAATATATTTTTGGGGAGTCCAATACACCCTAAATATAACTTTTTCATGAATCAATCTTGGTCTCAAATCTGTAGATACCATTTTAACAGTTTTAAGAACGTGAATTAATGGGACTTGCAAGAAATCCCAGGTCTTCAGGCCATGTTTTGAGATATCCTAGAATTGTCCACTTTTAAATTATTCTTGAGTTTTTGATAAGAGATACATTAAAGGTCAGGAAGAGATGCTGAATAATCTGTCCAGTGAAAGATGAACACAGGCATGAAGGCAGAACACAATAATTATATGAATAAAAAGATTGAATCTGAATCCTGCAACATTGGCTTTTGCTACTTGTAATAAAATAACTCAATGATGGATTGAATATATGCTTTCTCACTAAGTCTTCAGATTTGATCTGTAATCACTACTTTAAATTCTGATCACCACTGTGAAGACAGACCCTGCATTTTTCATTCACCTTCCAAGAGATTATTAAGATTCATTTCTTGTATTATAGTTTATTTTCATATGCTAATTAAGACTAATACAAGAGTTAAATTGTGTTTTAAGGGGTAATCATTTGTACGAAAAATGGGGGAAATAATCAGAACTTCCATATTATAAATCATTCAGTTTCATGTTCTACTGAAATAGATTGATAGAATATATTGTAAAAATGTCATTTTTGCATCTTAGTTTAATTTTAGTTTTGTAATTTTGATGTGTCAGTTTTTAAATAATTTGTAAATAGTGATTAATGTTATTTACATAAGCCTGAATTATTTATTCATCTACCTGAAAAATTGCATATCAGAAATTGTACTCTGTTGTGAATGCACATTGGAGGTTATATGCCAGTTGTCAGCCGTAGATTGCTAATGTATTGCATGAATGCTACTTAGCCCGCTTCATTTATTTCTATATTTTAATACATGGAAGAGTATAGAAAATAATGATACCTGAAGCAGTTCTAATTAGGAGACCAGTGATTAGTGAAAAGAATAAGAGAGCATTGAGAGATCAATGGAAGAGGTTTCCATTAATTTAATTTATTCCATTTGCTTATATCTAGAGTCGATGTTGTCTTGCTATACAGTAGGTATCACCATACCTGTCTTAATCTCTTCTTGTATTATTACTTCATAGATTTTTTTAATCCTGTTCAGAGAAATGCCATCTGGGTACTAGAGGACTGTGGGGAAAGATTGGTTGTCTATGCTGTTGCCTTTGAGAGGATTGTGTTACCTACTTGGATTTAACATGGTGTTTGGTTTGATTTTTGAGGCTTCGTAAAAGTAAAGAATCTCATTTTATACCCTTGTGGCAGATGGCATGGTTTAATATTGCAACAGCAAATGATGGTGTTTCCACATTTGAATCCACTTATGCTTCTTGAAAATGGAAGATGATGCAAATAACCATTGCATCATATTGTCCGAAACTGCGAAAATAATGCAAGTAGGACAGAATAAGAGACGTCACTCCCTGCCACATCCTTCACTGAGGATTTTACCCAGGATGTACCTCTTTCCAAATGTTAATGCTATTAATTGAAAGAAAGGAATTTGAGGAGGATATCCTACTCTTCTTTTGATTAGAGTTCTTACAGGAAAGCTGTTGGTTATCTTGTTACCTTTCCCCATTAAAGGGGAAGGATAGAAGCATAAAGATAAATCTCTGGGGGACAGCTAGCCATGCTGAAGAGGGGGCATGGCCATGGGCTGAAAATGGGGTCATAGGATCAACTTTGGGGGACACCTTTTGTGATCTTCTGACAAGCAAAGTCAACGGAAAAGCCAGATTCACTTAACAACTGTGTTACTAACTTAATAGCTGAAGTAATTCATTTAACAACTGTGGTAAAAAAAGAAAGGTTATAAAATGGTGCAAAACTCACTTAACTATCTCACTTAAGAACAGAAATTATGATCATAAGTGGAGGACTCCCTGTATATTGTTATGAAGCACTTCTTGCATATTAATTGCAATTTTCATCTTGAAATCTGTGTGTGTATGTGTTCAATTATTAGAAAAACATAATTTAGTATTTAGAAACACACAATTACTACATTCTTATATGAAGAAGACTCCCTTCCGGGCCATTGTCTGCTGAGTCCAGGGGGTCGGAACAATGAATCTGGCTAATGGCTTGGCAGCACAGGACATGTCCTCCTGGCCATCTTCCTAATCTGACAATGACTCTTCAGGCCAGGCCAGGGCACATGGTTGTGAAGTTCTAATATTATAAATCTGATGTTTCTTACTAATGTTTAAATAGGTACACGGTGGGTATCATGTATCATTACTTTTATTAGGAAGCAAGTGCTTGGCAAATTATCTTTAGTAGCTGTGTCTTTGGTTTTTGTTTCAGAAAAGAATTGATATTGTCTGGCACTTTAAACCCCATTAAAGACTTACATCTTGGGAAATTAGCACTAACTAAGTTTCCAAAAAGTCCAGAAACATGGATTCATAGGTTTGTGGTTTTACTTCTTTATATTGAAATACACATTTGTTTATTTCTGTGAGATCAGTGGTAGATGTCATCTGAGAAAAAAGGAAAGCATTAGACAGATCTTTGCTTTGCTGTAGAGTATTTGCGTGTGTGTTTGTGTGTGCACATGTGTTTGTGTGTGCACATGAGCATTTGCACCAAAACAAATTCCTTGTGTGTCCAATCACACTTGGCCAATAAAAAATTCTATTCTATCCTATTCTATGCACACACATATACATATTTCCATTGTGTACGTATTTCTGAATTGTTTGTAGCTACCCAATAAATTAATCTTGTAATCATAGCTAAAAAACAAAATTCTCAAAAACAAATTCTGAATTTTAAAGTAGGAAAAAAAGTCAAAGCAGGAAAGTATAAAGAAGTAGTAAGTTATATGAGTTTGTTTAATATTGTAAAAAAAGGATGAAAAATATATCTTAGGTTAGAAATTTAGAATTGTTTTGCTTCCATTGTATACAAGAATTGTTAACCTGTATGTAGCTCCTTTGTTAATCCTTTTAAATGAATAGTAAAATAAAGCAGGAAGCCATAAGTAACCATCATAGCTAAACCAGGAAAAACCTAGCATTTTGTATATATAGTTTTAAATATTTGCTCTGCATATGAAATAAATTTAAAACGAAGGAGTTTATACATCTGTATGTGGTTTGCTAAAATCATGACATCCTAAGCTTGGGGTTTAATATGTGTATGGTTAGTATTCAGGACTTATTTGTCAGTTTTTATAGGACTTATTGCCACAAAACAGGAAGTTACTGGTTGGAACTATTAACAAAATAATTTCATTATCTTAGGTAATGTTTTATAGTATAATTGAACTTCTTTTCAAATATTTATTTTTGTTATTGAGAAATTTTATATGGCCGCCCGACTAACTCATGGTGACTCTGGGATCGGGAGGAATATAAATATCCTTATGTGCTGTATTAAGAACTCATTTAATGACATAATGAATAAAAATGTTTTCATTAAATTGGCTTTCACACTTTCAATTCTGCACAATCAGACGATGGGTTCTGCAACATTTACTCCAGGAAAACTCCTTGCCCACTCTTGTGACTAAAGGGAACTTAGAAGCATTACCCACAGAAAAAATGCAGCGGCTGGTGAAAGAAGAAATGGATGTTTGTTGTGACGCTGCTGGACGATATCCAAGTAATTATAATGCCTGGTCCCATCGTATCTGGGTGTTACAGAATTTGGCAAAGCTCAATACAAAGGTATGGATGCAATAGAAGTTCTATAAATGTTTGTTTGCACATTTCTTGAAAATGTTTGCACTGAATTCAATTAAGCATGACTAATAAGTATTTGGGGCAGTAAGAAAATAATAAAAAGAATTGAGCTAATTCATTCAAAAAAATAGATTAAAGCTGAAGTCACCTGGCGTTCTGACCTCCTTTGACGGAAATCAGTAGAAAAGCAAAATAGGATGAAAACGAAGGCTTCTATGAAAATGGCAGGGCTTTTCGCCATTCTTGTTTGAGCCTGGAAGTTAACCAAACCTGGTTAGTCCTAGAATTTGTGGTTCTTTACCTTTTCTTCACCATGGACCCTCTTTAAATATTTTTTTGCTGCCACAGATCATAGCCCTAGACCCCAAGACTTAATTCAAGATTTAAATGATAACATTTCTTCAAGACTTTGTAGACCCCCCGAGATCGCATCACGGTTCCCCAGCAGTCCATGGACCACAGGTTGAGAACCACTGGGATTAGGGAATTCCAAGGCTTTAAGATAAACAGAGAAGTTGAAAAATTCCAGAAGAAATTACTTTTGTGAAGTTGCCCTCTCTATGTCACAAAATGACATAGATTTGTGAATGAAGTAACTAGGGGTCAAGCTCAACATGAGGGCATATTTATTGTTACCAGTTTTTGTTCAGCAGATATTTAAATGCTATTTATTTTCATATCTATGATCTTAAATTTAAATATGAGAACCAATTTGATGAAGTGGTTAAATCACCAGGTTAGAAACCAAAAGATCATGAGTTCTATAGTCCCACTTTAAGGCACAAAGCCAGCTGGATGACCTTGGGCATCCATTGTCTCTCAAACCACTTCCGAAAATCTTGCCAAGAAAACCTCAGGGACTAGTCTAGGCGTCAACATTGACTCAAAGCTATAAAAAGTAGAGGGAGAAGTATATGTCAAAACAATGTATCATAAAAATGCAAATTATAAATATATATATCAGTATAATTTCAAAGAGATCATGTACTTTAGAAACACCATAGTATAATTTATGGGTGCCTTTCAGATTATCTAAGCTTATCCTGGTTTAATGGGTTAGCATGACATTAAACAACTGGAATCTTGCTCACAAATTTTCAAAATACGTTATTAACAAAAACAGAAATGCCTATTACAAAACAGCTGATTCCTCCTTTTTGAGAGTTATCCAGAGTGTCCTCTAAAGCAGCGGTCGCCAACCGGTGGGCCGCGAGAAAATTTTGGTGGGCCGCAGAGAAATCTCACCCCCCAGGGCACCCCCACAAAGCAATTAATCTAGGCTGCTCAGAAACACAAGGCTGCGCTGCCCACATGGCCCGCAGGAACCTTCCCCGCCCACTCACTGTTTAACCTGGTAAACTTGCCTGCTAAATTGCTATTTTTCCTTTTTCTGACCATCATCTGTTCTGCTGTGCCAGGAGATTTAGATTAGCTAGGAAGCAGGAAATGGTTGGATTTCTTGCTTTCTAGCTAGTCTTTAGATCTTCGGCTCAGCACAGCCAAACCTCCCTTAGGAAGGTTTGCTTGCAAGCAAATTCAGTGCAGACTCACGGCAAGCAAATTTGAGAGACTGAGCTAGCCGATGGCAGCTAGATAGATCACTGAATGATTCTGTGAGCAACTCAATCTGCCTGCTTTGCCTGATTTTGAGTAAAAGTTGCTGTTTTTTTAAAATAAAAAATTCAATATTTACATGCATGGTGTGTTGTGAGTTAATTTTGTGAGTTTGCTTGCAAGCAAATTTTATGTGACAGACTGAGCTAGCCAATAGCAGATAGATAGATCTCTGAATGAATCTGTGATTCTGTGAGCAACTTAATCTGCCTGCTTTGCCTGATTTTGGGTAAAAGTTGCTCTTTTTTTATAAAAAAATCAATATTTATATAAATATTTATAATATTTACATACAAGCCATGCCCAACCGTCACATGACCACCAAGCTACACCCACAAATTAGGCCACGCCCAAAGAACTGGTTAGTGGTCCCTGGGATCTAAAATTATGAGTTTGGTGGTCCCTGAGGTCCAAAACGCTGGCGACCCCTGCTCTAAAGTGAATTCTGTGAACCAATTGGAATTTGTCACATCAGTCTTAAAATCTTAAAGTAAAATATTCTTACCATATTTAATAATCAGCCAGATGTTTAGACTGGATTTAGCATTTTTGTCTACCTAAGGAGTCCTATCCAAGGATCTGGGATGGGTAGATGTTGCATTTCATATAATAACAAAAATGTAATCCCATAACAGGTGGGATAAAATGGGAGCCCTAGATAGGGTAGGGGGTCAGTTCTAATAAAGTACAGTAGGGAAATATGGAAATAGTGCTGGTTAAGGATTGAGTGCACGTATGTGCAACCTTTAGGGATTATTGCCAGTTACGATGAAGAAACATGACGGTGATAGGGAAATTCTTCTGTATGCCAGAAAAAATTGATACACCAGCATTGGTTAAGGAGAAGGAAGTAAGAAGCAACCCACATCAATTGGTGCTCTTCCTTCCTCTTAGGCTAATTCAGATTTCTCATTGCTCACCTTTCCCAAATAATTAAATACGTTTGGATAGCATTTGTGTAAATTTTGCTTTTTTTAAAAAATTTGGCTGTGTTTTGTTTTCCATGTTTTAGTGTGTATCATACACTTCTTGCAATAAATCCACAGAAGTCCATAGTTTAGAGTACATTGTCATAAAGAAAAATCTGAAGCTGATTAGTGTTTATGTTGAATACTTCATTCTGTTTATGTTTTTAATCCTCAGATTCTTCTTGATGAACTTTCTTCCACTAAACACTGGGTCTCCATACATGTTTCAGACCATAGTGGATTCCACTACCGTCAGTTTCTATTAAAATCTTTAATAGTCAGAACTGGGACTGATTGTATTATAAAGTTATTTGATCACCCAACCAATCAACAAACATCCTGTTTTCCAAAAGATGAAGCAGATGAAGGTGCAGAAGCTTTTTGCATGGAAAAGCAACTGCCAGATCACTCGTTGTATCTGAAAGAGGAAATAGAGCTCTGCACTGATTTAATTAACACTTATCCAGGACATGAAACATTGTGGTATCACAGGTAAGAATATTTAAAGAACAGAAGAATGAAAGGGACGATTATCCCATTCAAATCTGATGCACTTTATTCCAAGTCAGGTTTCCCTTTCTGGTGTCTTGTGAATTCCCCCTCTAAATTCCCAATCCTCTAGAACAGTGGTCCCCAACCTTTTTTGTACCAGGGACCAGTTTCACACAGAAACACTTTTTCAAGGACCAGGTAAGGGCGTGAAGGTTCCAATAACAAAAACCTTAATCAATGCTGGGTGTTTTGTCTCCATGTGGCGGCGCAGTTTTGATGGTTTCATGGCTTCATCATTGTCTCGTTTACCCTTTCCAAAAAAACTCTCCAGTGAACTCTGTTTCTGGCTCATTTTGCGAGGGCTAGCTTGCATTGCTGATGCAGGATAAATACGCGCCAAAGAGTCAAGTTAGGTGAGGGTGGAAGTGGTTGTCTTTCAAAATAAGACACCCGGAAGCAAAAACATATTTTTATATATATTTTAATCACGATTATTCATTCTTTGTGGCCCGGTACAAAATGATCCACGGACCGCTACCGGTCCGGGGCCCGGTAGTTGGGGACCCCTGCTCTAGAACAAGTTTGTTGAGGATGTATGAAGAATACAGTAATGAGAATATGATCCATCAGCAAGGTAAATTCTGCTGACAGATGGACAAAAGTATACAAATATTGTTTCTTATTCAGGGAATTCACAGAGTGTTTAGCTATAGTATTCAGACATTATTTACAAAATGTAGGTTATGTTTGATTGGAGCTTCGTCCTTCAAACTGTCTGTTACGCTCTATATTTAGAAGAGGGACAGAACATGTTAAAAGACATAGAAGTTTGATTCCATATGTCTTTTTGTTCTTTACAGACGTCAAGTCTTCTACCTTCAACACCACTTAAAGAAGTGTCCAATTCCAAACATCTGGTCATCAGCTTCAAACAATAGTGATGGAACAGTTAATAATTCACTTCCTCATGTTACAACTGGCCATACCACACAAGACATGGATGTTGACAGCTTAACGGAATGCAACAAACAAGGCTACAGTCAAGAAACCAAGCGCCTGAAGCGTGCTCCTATGCAGGACTGTATCAACGTGGAAGAAGAATATAAGTTCATTGATCACGTTTTGTCTACGTGTAAGGAGGAGGATCAGGCAAGGTTTGCAAGTTCATATAGAAAATGGCTAGTGTCTTTTCTAGGCCAGTGAAGATCTTTTAAAACTCTTTAGGGTCTTTGTTTAGTGCAATATCTTCTTTACAGACAGGTGTACTTAGGACCCCTGGCACTTTTCGCCCTTCTGTTATTCCTGCCACTGCTAAACTTCATTTACTGATGTTGGGTTTAGTTCTATTTATATTTTTAAAAGCCACTTTGTTAATTTTTATGGATCTTTGTAGGATAGCTCCACCTAAAAAGGAACTGTTTGGTGTTAATATAAATTAAGTGCAAATTTTAAAGTCACTAATATAACTGGAGTAATAGGAAAACAGAAAGGTAGATCTACTGGTGAACAATGATTTCATTCCTAAATACCTCATCCATAATAAATGCACCTATTCAAAGTCATTGGTCAGTGAAAACAGTGGAAAATCGTTCAGCATGACAATGTCAAAATGGTTTTGAGTACGAGTCTTCATTTTATAATTGCATTGCATCACTACTCTTCTGAACTCTTTTTATTTCACATTTGAATTGCTCTGATAATCTTACAGTCCGATGACTTTTTATTTTTATTATAGTGAAAGTGGGATATGGTTATGTGAAATAGTTTTGTAAAAAAAAAAAGTCCTAAACTAAAACTAACTAGTTCAATATAAGAACATTGGTATTTAGGGTTTTTTCTGGCTTTTGTGAATTTGGAGGCTTTCATGAATTTGAAGGTTGGAAGATATGAAAATGTAAGATGATGACCAAGGAACAAACTTCTATCTAATCAGATCCCTACCTGCAATTTTCCTTGGCACATGCAGATTTTTTTCATTCCTAAAATATACAGTGTTTCATACTTGGATTTTTATTGTAAGTGATGATATAAATGATAGATACAGGATATGATAAACAATGCTGACCATCAATGTTATCTTTGTAAGGATGTTTCACTTAATGGACAATCCACCATGCACTGGGACTTATTCATCTTTCATTTAATGCAACAGGACCATACATGGTTCCTTTGCAAGACCCATTTAAACCTCTTGAGAAAGTACAGTGCTCAACAAAATGATTTGCTTGTTTTGAGTTTTCTTCAGGTTATCCACGTAAATGCGGACAGAAAAGAAGAAAATGCAGAGGCAAGAGTAAGCAGGTTGTTTATGATGGGGAAGACAATTTCTTTTGTGCTTCAGCTGGGCTGAGTTTGTGAAGGCTTTCAAAGAAACGAATGAAATATGACTTGAAATCCATTTTTGCTTTATTTGTAGTTTTAAGTTGAAATTCAAGTTAGATTTGCTGCAGTTACATAGAGGCAACTGTAGCTATTCAATTTGGCTGCCCTTTTATTATAAAATAAGGTCAAATTCTATATTTAAATTTGCATTTGTACCTCCCACGGAAAGCACATGGGATTTTTAACGTAATAAAACCAAATTCCAAGTCTGAAATTAAATTGCAAAGTATTTCTGTATTTTAACCTTTGCTTTATAGCTTGCAAAAACAGAGGATATGTTTGGAGGGTTTACAGAAATATAACCAGAATGACTGAAGAAAAGTATAATTTTAAAATTAAGAGAAATAACAGATGAACAATTCCATTAGAAATGGAAGAACAAACAAGAACCTGCCTTTTACAGCCCTAACTGCATAATATTAAAGGCTTGTTGCAAGCAAATTGGAAGTTAAATAAATGAGTATAGCAAGCATATTTTCTGAAACATGGGGTTGTCTAGAAATATAAATTCACACAGAAACATGACAGGCTGTACATGATATTTAGAGTATAGATGAAAACTTCTGAAGTTGGATTAATTGAGAATCCATTTGTGAACACTAATTTGACTAGTTCCTTTGAAGTCTCAAAATAGGAAAAATAGCATACAAGAATCACATATATTTAACTATGCCTCTGGGCACTAGTGCTTATTACCATACATTAAAGGCACGTAGCAGAGCTCTGCACTACTAAATAGCAATATATTAAGCATTTAGCATGTCAGAAGTCAAAATACTGAGACCTAATAACTCAACCATGACACTAGTGAGGAAACACCTGACTACCTTATCCAATATCAAGTGTTTCTTCATAAAATTTGTTAATTGTATCAATACAAGCACATTATAAGCACTACAGAGTATCATTCATGGGTGTTCTTAAGAATTCAGGAAGTGTTACAATGCAATCCTAGTTGGTTCTGAAAATGAGGCACAAAGGGCCTCCACTGGAAGGATCCTAGAGGATTCGTTATTTTATTAATCTCACATCCTAAATTTTGTTGATCTGCTAATAAGCCAACAAAATAGTATAGTAGAGTAATTTAAATTTGGCTTAGAATGAACTGAAAAAAGAAGAAGTTAAGCTGTTCCACATTCACTCCTATGTCATGGACAATACTGACCTCAACTTATTACAAATAATCTGAGTTCAGTAGAACTCTAAACAAGTAATCTAATTCTCCCCTATTCACACTTACATATTTAAAGGTTAACACCCCTATCCCAATGACAGGGTGTTAACATACACACAGTTTAACCAATCTGTTCAGCTCATCAGTCTGTTTTGTTCACTTGTAATTGACTGCTCCTTTGCTGTTTGCTAGATTGCATCACATTTGAACCGGTACATTTTTACTTTTCCTTATATAATTGATAGCCTTATGCTATCTTTTTCTTAAATGTAAACTGCAGGTGTTTGTAGATATCACGGGGTACTTCAAAAATGAAAATCTCTTTAAAAAGGGAGTATCCAACTCCCGGTCCGTGGCCCAGTACTGGTTGGGAACCAGGCCGCACAAGCGGTAGGCGAGTGTGCAAAACTGCATTAGTGCAAGCAGAAGGGATGCGTGTGAAACCATCCTCTTCCCCCTCCCCGCTGCACTGCTGAGCTGGAAAGATTAGGGACTGCTGCTTTAAAATAGTAAATTACGAGATCAACATAAGCAAACAATCAATACATACATCATTATTTGTGAATTGATTTAAAAATTAACTCTTCATTTCCAATACTAATCAGATAGAATTGCTAGTATCTTTGGGATGACAGTTGTTCCCCATTGCGATAGTTGAACTTCTACTAGCCTTTATATCTTTTTTTTCCAGTTTTAGCCCTGTTTTGATATAGTCTGCATCATAGTAACCATCTGCTAAACATTCTTTTATTTTTAACTCTGTATTGTGAAAGCAGAACGCCTACCATGAGTACAGGTAGTTCTTCACTTACAACCATTCGTTCAGTGACCATTCAAAGTTACAATGGTGCAGAAAAAAGTGACCGATAACTGTTTTTCAAATGTTGAGATTGTTCCAGCAACCAGTTTGGTCACATGATCAACATTCAGACACTTGACAACTGGCATGTATTTATGACAGTTGCCGTGTCCCAGGGTCACGTGATCACCTTCTTCAGTTTTCTGACAAGCAAAGCCAGCCTCACTGAACTGTGTTACTAGCTTAACAACTGCAGTGATTCACTTAACAACTGTGGAAAGAAAGATCATAAAATGGGGCAAAACTCACTTAACAACTGTCTCTCTTAGCAGTAGAAATGTTGGGCTGAATAAAGCATTGAAAGGTTTTGACTATCTGAAAAGCTTTCTTGATAGTTATATTATGGGCTCCTCTCCCAATTGTTTTATATTAATGTTTATGACAGGCAGAAAATGATGCTAATCCTTTTAATAAGGTCTCTATGAATGTAACCAACGCCAACAGAAGCCATTGATTTTCAGCTTTATGTTTGCAGCAGTGGTTGATCTGTTTTCCCCTGCTTATTACAACTGACAGAATGTATATACATGGTTTTTAAGTACAGTTTTGTTTTAATGAAAGAATTAAAACTTAAGCAATCTACTTGAGTTATTATGAGACATACTGTTAATTCAGAAAAATACAGGTACATATTATACTTTATTATTAATTTGCCTTATACCTTAACATCTGCTTTAAACCTGCAGTTCATTACCTCTCTATATCTGGAATATTATTTGCACAGTAATGCAGTTTGTAACTCTTCTAAGAAAATAAAGTTGTCTACCAGTATTAAGAAATGACTGGCTGTTAGTGTACAGTTCAGTCTAATAGCCTGATTTGGAGAGTTCTTCAGTGGTTTCCATTGAAAATAGTAACATTTTTGGATAATCTTAACCAAAAAAAAAGTATACATTACTTCCATGCTTAGTTATTATGGATATAATTGAACCTGAATTTTACAATCTTTTCAAATGACAGAACTTAAGACTGTCAACTTTTATTTGTCCTAGGTGTTTCCAGTGAAAAATAGATGTGAATTATATACACACCTAGACCAGGAGTCTCCAACCTTGGCAACTTTTAAGACTTATGGACTTCAACTCCCAGAATTCCTCAGCCAGTAACTGGCTGAGGAATTCTGGGAGTTGAAATCTACAAGTTTTAAAGTTGCCAAGGTTGGAGACCCCTGACCTAGACCATTGTTTCTGAGGCTTGGCAACTTTAAAGGTATGGACTTCAACACCCAGAATTCTTCCTCTTTTAAAGTTGCCAAGCTTGAGAAACACTTACCTAGATACATTCCCTCAAATGACAGAGTTTCTGTTGAATTTTAAACACTTTGATAAAAAAAGATGGGGGGATCCAGTGCTCTAAAATTTGAGGCAGCTTTTATTGAACAAAGCCAGTAATTGTTAATGAGACATTTTTCTCTCTTGCTGCATTTAATTTGTTGTGTCCTAAGCTGTTTCCTTCTTAAAGAGTATGGTGGTACCATGTGGAACATTGTCTTTTATAGGTAAACTTGACTACCTCCCAAAAACAGGGATAAGGCCATCTCTTCAGATGAGCTTCTTTTTATGTAGAACCTCATCCTTGGGGTTGAAAAAGCGAGAACTGTAGGAAGCCTATTTAATACCTTAGGAAGCGCTTGTTTCAAATAGTTTTCTAAGTAAAAAAAATGCAGTGCCTAGACTTCATTTTTCCATTTCCATAAACTGAGTACTCTGCTGTTGTCAAAAGAAGGAAATGACCACATGTGGTCAGTTAATGTTTTCATTAGATAGTAAAGTCAGTAGTGAAAATGGACTCTTCCCTGTGATTTCTAACTCATAATGCTAACTTTACTCAGGGCATAGATTAACTAGTGCATTAAATACTTTTTACCATTATGTTGTCTACTGTTGTAAATTCTTAAATGCCTAAAATGGTATTTTATCAGTCTAGCTTTCTATCTTATTTTAAAAATGGCTTTTTAAAAATGGCTTTTTTTAAAAAAAAAT